TCATTGCCACGAGTCACAACAGTTTGCCATCCTGTGGGGGAAATACACATAGCATTAGCCCTTAACTCACAACAGCTCCAAGGCAAGCACCAAAGGGTCAAGTAACCTGAGAAGGGCCAATGCTCAAATAACAACTAAAAGAGGAACTTTAACAAAGAAAAAAAGAACTGGGAAAAGTCTACAGACAGCATGCTATATACCAGTATTTTTCAAACAGGTCCTGTAAGTTCTATAGGACCTATAAGTTAATCTTTGTGATATACTTTCTGATAATCATATTTTAAGAAATGATTTAAGCATTTCCTGAATCATCTAGAATATAATAATAAATACTGAGGCTTGGGTACCAGCCCCCTAGACTCTAATTTCATTAGACTGGGATGTGGCCTGGGCACTGAGATTTTCAAAAGCTCCCTAGGTATTCTAGAACCACCATTTTAAACCTGGGCCATGCAGTATATATGGCTACCTAACATATATGACATATATGGCTACCTAACTTTTGATCAATTAAAATTAAATTACACTTAAAATGCACTTCCTTCATTGCCCTAGTCACAATTCAAATACTCAATAGCCATGTGGGGTTACGAACTACTATACCAGATAGCACAGATATATAGCATTTCCATCATTGTTGGATAGTGTTGCTTGAGACAATTATAGTATAGAAAACCATCAGGAAAAAAAAAAATAGCAGTGTCTACATTTGTGCCCAGTGGTATTGCTTCAACTGTTGTGTTTTAATGAGAAAAATGTATATACTGATGTACATAATTGGTACATTTGAGCCAAACATGACATAAAAACACACTTGATGCTATGACAGGTTTGCAATAATGTAACAAAAAGGGTGGGCAAATTGACCCACCACATAGCACAGCTATGAGAACATTCTTACCTATAAAGGGTCTATATATTTCTCCAGTTAGAGAAATACCAGTGTAGGCAAAAGAAAAAGAAAAGAAAGCTAAAATTTTGGAGACAGAGAGGCCTAGGTTCAAATTCCAGAGTTGTCTCTAACTACCCATGTGACCTACAAGTTAGATTCCTCATCAGCAAAACAGGGATAGATACCACCTCTTTTAGAGTTTAAAGGATTGAGAGAAATTTTCTATGGAAAGGTGCCTGGAGACACTGCCCAACAGCTATTCAAAAAGATCAGTTCTATTCCTTTCAAAATGTTTGTAAATACAATTCCAGAACACATAAAAGCCAATTCACTCACATTCAGAAAGTGGAGTCACTTCCAAAACAACTCACAGAGATCGGGGCAGGTCAGGAGGTACCAGGGAGAGCTGCCAGGGCAAACACACTGCTCTCACTTACTCTTCAACATAACTACCTCATTAAGGATATAACTAATTATGATTTTTTTATAATTTTGAAAACCTTTTCATATCAAAGATTGCCTAAATTAGAAAAAATCCCTTATGTAAACACATGCTCAGATCAAAACATGGAAATTCAGGGAGATGGCTGCCATGATTCCAGAGCAGGGCTCTTGGCACTATGGACATTTGAGAGCAGACCATTCTCTTTTGTGAGGGCTGTCTTGGGCATTGTGGAATATTTAGCAGCATCTCTGTCCTCTACCAACTAGATGTGTGACAACCAAAACTGTCTCCACACATTGCCAAATGTCCCCTGGGAAAATCACTAGATTGAGACCTTCTGTTCCAGAACAGCATGAGAAAGATATGCAGTTGGCTTCTGTAAAGATTAAAGCCTCGTCCAGCCAAACAAGACAGGCATATGAGCTGAACATTTACATTAGGAAGATACACTCCTTGGAGAAATCAATCATGGGAGAATAGAAGGGCTGTGTATGCACAGCAAGACCGCTGGGGAGGGGGCACGAGTGCATGGGAGGGAAGGACACAGGGAAGAGATAACTATGGGGAGGAAGTGGGAGGGGAGCTGTTGTATTGTGGGAAATTACAGTCAATGTCATGAGACAAAGTGTATCTGAGCTGCTATATGGAAAGTGAATTTGCTCTGTAAACTTTCACCCAAATCACAATAAAAATTAAAAATAAAAAAATATTAAAGCCTAGGAAACCCTATGGGGCAGTTCTACTCTGTCCTATATATAGGTCACTATGAGTTGGAATCAATAGGTTTTTGGTTTGGTTGTAGACTAAGGGAAAAGGTGGGAGGGAATAGACACTGAACCTATAATTGCCAGACCTTAACTTGCATTAATGTTATCCAGTTCTCAGAACAGCCCTGTGTAGTTGCTATCATCTGTGCTTTATAGATAGAGAAACTGAGGATCAGAGATATTAAGTCATCATCCAAGGTCAGGATCCAAACTAAACCTGCTTGCACAAGCTTGCCCCTCTACTATGCAATGCTACCTTCTTTCAAAATAAGGGCTACTCCAAACACAGAACCATCCTAGAATCTTACTGGGTTACTGGTCAACCGATATTTACTAAAAATAAACCAAACTCACTGCTGTTGAGTTGATTCTCCTGATAGCGACCCCTCCCCTTGGGTTTCTGACGCAGTATCTCTATGGAAGTAGATTGCCCAATCTTCCTTCCGAGGAGTGGCTGGTGGGTTTGAACTGCCAGCCTTCTGGTTAGCAGTCAAATGCCTTAGGCACTACGCCACCAGAGCTCCTCAATATTTACTATTAAGGTATAAAAGATCTATGGCCCAGTTTGAAACTGAAGATAATTACAAATATATATATTCTGTTTTTAGAATATATAATTGATGCCACAATGTTATGGCAAGAATGAACACAACAATTGGTCCTCTATGCCAAGGTCACTCTTGGTTTATGATAGTAAACTATGTCTACAGTATAAGGGAGGTGGTTTATCTTTCTGTTTTCCTTATTGAAGGCCCAGGGCTGTGCATCTGGCCCACTCAAATATCCTGGCAGAAGCAGCTGCCACCTCCACACTAGCCACCTCTCAAGTCCTACTGTGTATAAGGTTCTATGCTAAGCAGTCTACACACATTACCTCATGTGATCCTTACAACAACCCTCTGAGGTGAAAATTATCACCACCATTTTACAGATGAGAAAACTGAGACCTAGAGAAAGCAAGGAACTTGCTGGTCAGTGGCTGAGCCAGCATTTAAAGTCTGACTGTCACCAAAACTCCTGCACTAACTGTCATATTATACAGCCAATAAGCATGGGTTAAAGAGATGGGAGGCTGGACATCCTCAGTTTTACCCTGCAGGGAATAGCCATGCAAAACAGGCTAATATTTGATTCTCCTTACTCACACAGAAAAATTAAGGAACAAGGACAGCGTGGACCCACAGTGAGGTAGGTCACATGGATCTTACCCACCAAAGGACTAATTCCTCTCTAGGACTCAAGGACTGACAAACCATCTTACCAAAGACTTCTTTGCTCAAAGCAATGCATGCAACAGCTGTGTGGGAGCCTGGAACATGTGGAGTACAGCATATGAATGGGCAAGAATCCTTGTGAAAATGTACTCACAGTGACACAATCACTTCTCTAAAAAAGACTCAATGCTATGAGAAAGTTAAGGCAGTCAGAAAGGACCAACTTTAGGTGAAAGCTGGCTTTCAAAAATTCCATTAAAAATGTGAATGGAAAAGTTAATAGAATCTCCTCAAAACGTATCAACATCAACCCAAGTCCTTGTGAGGATTATGGTTTCCCCCACCCTATGGAACTGAAATCACAAGTCTGATAGTACAGCATTCGGCTGCTAACCAAAAGGTCAGTGGTTGGAACCCACCAGCCTGCTCAGCAGGAGAAAAACGAAGTAGTCTGCTTCCTAAACATTTACATCCTTGGACAATCTATGGGGCAGTTCTACTCTGTCCCATAGAGTCGCAATGAGTCAGAATAGACTTGATGGCAGTGTTTTCTTTTTTTAATGTAACTGAATATGACATTGTGACTCTATGGGATTTGCTCTCCATTTCTACAAAAGGTTGTTCCCATCTCAGAAGAGTCTAAAAGCTACAGTTCTGCAGAACAGCCAATAGAGAGCGCACATTCAACTTGATGGTCAAAAAAAAGAAGAAAGGAATAAGCTTAAAAAGATTTTTCTCTAAAAATAAAAAAAGTTTGTTTGTTTTTGATAAACCTTGCCTTTTTTATTGTTTTCTACTATAACATAATGTTAACCAATGTTACCCAAACTATCCTAAGCATCCCATCATAGATAGATCTAATATAGATAAAGATAATAAAAATATAATAAAGCAAAAGAATCAATTTTCTGTTCTGCATTGAGCTGTGTAGCCTTGGGTAAGTTACTTAAATTCTCTGAGTTTTAGTTTCTTCACTGAAGAAATGATGAAAGTGATTACGACTCTACCTGCCCACTGCCATCATCATCACACATTTATTGGGAAGATCAGATTTTGATGAGAAGTAAATTATGTGACATACATAAGGTGCCTCGCACCTAACTGATGCTCATTAAAATCTGGTTCCATTTCTTCATTCCCTTTACTAGATGTCTTTGTAAAAATCTGTAGTAAGGACAGGTAAGAAGGATAAATGGGAATGGGGAACCCAGAGAGGAATGGGGAAGGATGAGGTTTCATTGAGGGAATTACAACCAACGTCAGGAAACAAAATGTGTATAAATTATTGAATGGAAAACTAATTTGCTCTGTAAACTTTCACCCCAACTACATTAAAAAAAATTCCGTAGTGTTTATAAAAATCACCATCTTATTTAGCAAACTAAATTATGATATTTGTCATTCTCACAGGTTTACTTGGACCTTGGAATCTGAAGACCTGGTTTCCGATCTTGACTTCATACTTACTAGCCATGTGATCTTGCACAATTTATTTAACCTTTCTGTGACTCTACTTCTTCCTCTGTAAAATAGAGACAATTACACTCCCCCCACTCCGTTCCCCTGAGTTTGTTGTGAGGATGAGAAAAGCAATGCAGAACAGGGGTTCAGTCACCATGAGCATCCCATTTATAGACATATGGTCCCCTGTGATAAGACAACAGTACTGCTGGGCACCGGGGTCAGCTACCGGCAAGGAGTGGCATCAGTGCCAACTGGATGGAGAAGACACCCTGCTTCCAATGGCCTTCCAGCTTGGAGTCGGTTTCCTCTTGCGACTGCTGCCTTCTCTTCTGAATTTTCTTTTTCATGTAAAAATCTTTCTTTTTACCTGTGAAATCAAAGAAGGAAAAAATGGTTGGAAGGACCTCTCCTAGCTGGCATGTAGCACGCATACACGCTGCAGAGACGAGGAAAGCTTCCGTCAGCTCTACAAGGTGAGGCTGCTCTTTGAACTGCTGCCCCATCCCAGCAACCACAAGATGTGCCAACTGTCAAGAGCAGGCAGTTCTTAAGTGAATGCAGGGGCATCCTGAACTCTAGCCCCTCTGGTCCCAAGAATATAGGCAGAGGGAACTAAGCCTCCCATGATGACACCAATGCCACAAGGTGCTGAAAGTTCTCCTCTGAGTAGCTCTTAGCCAGTCTCTGGTTAAAGTTTGGGTTTTGGGATTGAAAAATCAGAGTTCCAGAACTAGGTCTAATGGTTCTACTGTGTGACCCTGAGAAAAAAAACCTTAATCATTTTGAGCCTCAGTTACCTCCTCTATCAAATAGCACCTGCCTTCCAGGGTGTTGAAAAGTGTAAATGAGCAAAGGTACAAAATTGCTTAGCTCAGTGCCAAGCTTGTATCAAGAAGAAAACGGAGGTAAGACTTATAAACCTACTGTCATTAAAGCCATGGGCTGTTGGTTCAGTGAATGGAACAGACCAGAAACCCAAAAACACATTCACACACACACACACACACACACACACACACAAAGAAAACCCCTCACTGCTGTCAAGTTGATTCTGACTCATAGCGACCCCTCCTTGGGTTTCCAAGGCGGTATCTCTACGGAAGAAAATTGCCCAGTCTTCCTTCTGAGGAGTGGCTGGTGGGTTTGAACCACCAGCCTTCTGGTCCGTATGCCTTAGGAACTACACCCCCACATGTAGAGAAAACTTAACATACGGCAGTGGTGTCATTTAAAATCACTGGAAGCACTCCCCTATCTCAAAACCTACTGTGGTAGTTATGTTTGTGTGTCAACTTGGCTGGGTCTGATTGAGTGGCTGGGAAGCTGGTGGTAGTTGTTCCCCATGATGAGACTGGCAATCAACTCCATGGTGAGATCTACCACAAGCAGCTGAGTAGCTGCCTTTGGGACGTGGTCTGCTTCCTGTATATAAGCAGCAGCCTTGGGAATGGTCTCTAGCTTATGGCACACTTGGACCCTGTATGTAGCCGTGTTGTTGTTCAGCAGCCTGCCATGCTCTGCTGACCTTGGGACTTACAATAAACTTGAATTAATGGCCTGCCATGTGGTTTGGTAACATCAGGACTGTGCCTTTTTACTTGTCAACCTTGGGCTTCTTAGCCTCAGCAGCTGTCTGAGTGAAGAAATGCCTCTAGCTCCAGTGGGCCAGGAGCAAGAGGCAGAGCTGGACTCTAAGGTTGAGGGGCTTTCACCCAGCCCCTAGAGCTTGGCACTTTGAACTTGGACTTAAAGTCTCCAAACTGTAAGAGAATAAACTCCTGTTTGTTAAGGCCATCCCAACTGTGGTATATTTTTGTCAGAGTGGCACTAGGTAACCAGAACACCAACTATACAGGTACAGTAGTCAAGTTAGAAATAGAAATACCATATGACCCAGGAATCTCATTACTAGGTATATTCCTAGAGAAATAAGAGCTGTGACACAAACAGATATATGCATAGCCATGTTTATCATAGCACTATTCACAATAGCAAAAAGATGGAAGCTACCTAAGTGCCTATCAACAAATGAATGGATTAAAAAACTATGGTAATACACATAATGGGATACTACACAATTTAAAAATATAATGATGAATCTGTGAAACACCTCATAACATGGATGAACCTAGAGGACATTATGCTGACTGAAATTAGTCAATCACAAAAGGACAAATATTGTTTGAGACCACAATTGTAAAAAGTCAAGAAAAGGTTATACACAGAAAGAAATATTCTTTTAAGATTACCAGGAGTGGGTGGGGCAGGGAGGATTGATCACCAACTACAGGGTAAATACATATTAATTTGGGTGAAGGGAAAAGCAATACACAAAAAGAGGGAGGTCAGCACAAAATGGTCAAGGCAGAGGAAGACATGGGGAGGAGCACAAGAGTTAAAGGAAACAAAAGCGAATACTAATACATACACAATCCTGCAATAGTACTAATAGTAATCTAAGAATGGTTATATAAATAGACATGTAAGCTGAACATGTGTGGGAGGGAAGGCAAATGGAACTACAACCAAGGAAAATAATATAGGTTTGACAGAGAATATTTTTCTACGTATATATCTATGTTGTTGTTGTTGTTGTTATGTGCCGTCGAGTCGGCCCCGACTCATAGCGACCCCTCCTTGGGTTTCCGAGGCAGTATCACTACGGAAGTAGGATTGCCCAACCTTCCTTCCGAGGAGTGGCTGGTGGGTTTGAACCACCAGCCGTCTGGTTAGCAGGCAAGTATCTTAGCCACTATGCTACCAGAGCTCCCACGTATATATCTATACGTGCTACAAATATATGCATGAATATAGTAAAGCTTACAGGGGACAAAGTTATGAAAACTTTTTAACTATAATCAAACACAGTGAGGGAATGAGTTGCTGGGCCTGGTGGTTCAGGACCATAGTCTCAGGGGACATCAAGGTCAATTGGCATAACATAGTCTACAAAGAAAATAGACAATAGTCTACATCCTACTTTGGAAGTAGCGACTAGGGTCTTAAAATTTTATGAGTGGCCATCTAAGGGGCAACTATTGGCGCCTCTCCATCTGAAGTAAAGAAGAGTGGAGAAAATCAAATACGTAAGGAAATAATTAGTCCAAAGGATTAATGGACCACACAAATCCCAGTCTCCACAACCATGAGACCAGAAGAACTAGATGGTGACTGGCTACCACTGCTGACTGCTCTGAAAGGGATCACAATAGAAGGTCCTGGACAGAGTGGGAGAAAAATGTAAAGCAAAATTAAAAATCATGAAACAAAAGGACCAGGAGGCTTACTGGTCTAATAGAAATGGGTGGAACCCCCAAGACTATGGCCTTTAGACACCCTTCAGGCCTGGAACTAAACTCACCCCCATCATTGAACTTTCAGCCAAATGATAGGCAGTCCTACAAAGGGAACAATAACAACAGGGACATACACACCCCTCAAAACAATAAACCATACTAGATCAAAAGGGCAGCACTTGCCCAGGGATAAAGCTCAGAAGGCAGTAAGGGATAGGAAAGAAGAAGGAATGGGAACAGTAAACAGAGGGAGGAAATGGGAAGAGAGCTGTTTCATTGTGGGGATTGCAATCAGTGTCACCAAACAAAATATGTATGAACTGTTGAATGAAAAACTATTTTGCTCTGTAAACTTTCAACCAAGTAACAATAAAAAGTTATTAAAAAATTTTTTTTTTTTAAAAGATTTCAGCCTTGAAAACATTATAGAGCAGTTCTACTCTATCTTACAGCATGACTATGAGTTGGAATTGACTCAATGGCAACAGGTTTAGTTTAAGGAGCTGTGGTGGCACTACAGTTAAACACTTGGCTGCTAACCAAAAGGTCAGTGGTTCAAACCTACCAACAGCTCTACAGAACTATGTGACAGCCTGCTTCTGTAAATATTTACAGTCTTGGAAACCTATGCAGCAGTTCTACTCTGTCCTATAGGATTGCTATGAGTTGGAATCAACTCAAAGGCAACTTTTTTTTTTTTTTTTTAGTGGGTTCATGAATGACTTTCAGCAAATCTGGGGGCCAGGTGCAGATTCCTTGAAAGTGCATGTCACATTATGTGTCCACAACTTTCAAAAATTACCAAATGAGTTCAAGATCCCAAACAAATTAAGACTTACCGATTCAGAATCTAATAAATGTTTGGAATTTTAATTAATTATATCAGTGGAAAGGATGGACCAGTCAATACATGATATTGACTGTCCCTTTGGAAACAAATGAAATTATTGGGCTTGCTCACACTATATGCAAAACTAATTACAGACTATAAATGGAAAACAAAAACTTCAAAATCATTAGAAGAATATATTGGAGACTATATCAATATCTGAATGAGGAAGAATTTCTTAAATATACCAAAAGTACAACCTATAAAGGAACAGTGAAAACAAATAACATGTACAAGAGAAGGTGCTATAAATAAAGTAAGAAGATAAGTTACAGATCCCAGTCTGGGACGTTTGCAATGCATTTAACTGGCATAGTGTAATTATCCATAAGATGGGAAAACAAAGCATAAGAATCAATAATAAAATTTTCAAAAAATAGAAAAATAAGTAAAAAAAAACATGTAGGCAAATAACATAAGAGGAAATCTGAGTGATCAAATAAATATATGAAATGCCACCCAACCTCTTCAGGAATCAGGAATGAAATGTCTGACTACACAAAGCATGGGTGACCACATGGAGAGGGAGGACTTCTTGGGTGCTGCTGGTAGGAGGGTAAATAGGTATAACCTATTTATGATTATGATTATTATCAACCTATAGTATGATTACTTACTGGAAAGTACCAGCCATTCCTTGGAAGGAAGGTTGGGCAATGTACTTCTATAGTGATACCGCCTAGGTATCAAGGAAGGGTCGCTGTGAGTTGGGTCCAACTTGATGGCACATATCAACAACAACAACAACAACACATATTTAGCTAGATGGCCACATCTAGGGATGGTATCAAGGCACATCTCTTGTGCCCCAGTAGTTCCACCAGATAAATGTCCTGGGCTTGTGCGTATGTGTACATTGAGATACGGGTAAGGATACTCACTACAACACTGCTGGTGAAAGCAAAATCCTGGAGACAATACAAATGTTCCTCAACAGGGGATGAGATGGAAGAAGAAAGGTATATCCTTCTAACATGTACAGACATTAAAGTGAAGAAGCTGGATTTGCATGTATCAACAGTAATAAGTCCCAGAAATAAAGTTGAATGTAAACAGTAAGCTACAGGAAGATACGAAGAGTCTGAAGTAATTTCTGTAACTCTAAAAGCAAGTCAATACAATGTTGTGTGAATGTGAGAGAGAGAAAAGTAAGGGGAAAGGTTCACAACAATTTCCATGTCAGGGTAGAGCATGCTTCTCAAAGAATAAGACACAAAAAGGACTTGAACTATATCTGTAACTTTTTATTTCTGAAAAAAAGAGAAAAAGTAAATATGGCAAAATATTAACACTATAAACCTGAATCATGAATACATTATTTTTATATTTTCTGTGAAATTCTCTATGCTTACAATAATTAAAAATAAAGTGGTTTGAAAAACTCATAAAAATGCTTAAAGAAAAAAAAATATATATATAAACACACACACACATATGAAGAATGAGGCTGTTTAACCTGGAAAAGAGAAAACTCAGAAGGAGTTGAAAGGTGTTCAGATATGAAAATATGGACTAGTCGTCTAGTCGTTAAGGGCCTCAAAAATAGGAACTGGTTTTATTCAGCTGTGTCTCCAACACCCAGACTCAGATTGTTAAGCAATAATCACATCATTGGAGCTGAACAAATGTGAAATGGGCCATCCGAGGGAACAACAAACACACTGATTCTAGAATTTTCCATCCCATACCACATCCAACTGCTGGCTAGAAAATCGGTGAGGAGGCAGACTTCGTGGCTTCTGAGAATTCTTGTCTTTTGGTAGTCTCTGTCTAGGACTACATACTTCTGCATGAGGGTTGCCTGCCTGGAATGTAGTTTCCCTCATCTCACCTGGCAAATAGCTTTTTTTCAATCAAGAGGATGGTGTTCTGGTTACCTAGTGCCACTCTGACAAGAAATATACCACAAATGGGATGGCCTCAAGAAACAGGAGTTTATTCTTACAATTTGGAGGCTTTAAGTCCAAGTTCTAAGTGCCAAGCTCTAGGGCCTGGGTGAAAGTCCCTCAACCTTGGGGTCCAGCTCCGCCTCCTGCTCCCGGCCCACTGGAGCTAGAGGCATTTCTTCATTCAGAAGCTGCTGGCTGCTGAGGCTAAGAAGCCCTAGGTTGACAAGTAAAAAGGCACAGTCCTGATGTTACCAAACCACACTGTAGGCCATTAACTTAAGTCCATTGTAAGTCCCAAGGTCGGCAAAGTATAGCAGGCTGCTGAGCAACGACACGGCTACATGCAGGGTCCAAGCATGCCATAGGCTAGAGACCATTCCCAAACTTCCTGCTTATATACAGGAAGCAGACCACATACCCAAAGGCAGCTACTTAGCTGTTCACAGTAGATTCCACCATGGAGTTGATTACCAGTCTCATCATGGAGAACACTGCATCCAGCTGCCCAGCTACTCAACCAGGCCCAGCCAAGTTGACACAAAAACATAACCAGCATAGATGGATAAATTAGAAAGATGGATAGTGGGGATAGATGGGTGGATGGATAGTGGGAATGGTTGGCTGGTAAGGGTAGTGGGATTGTGAGGATAGATGGCTGGATGGCTGGATGGTAAATTGGGATGAATGGGTGGAGGGGATGGGTAGATGATGAGTATCTTAGTTCTCTAGTGCTGCTATAACAGAAATGCCATCAGTGGAAGGCTTTAACAGACAGGAACTTATTTTCTTACAGTTTAGAAGGCTGTCGTCAAGTCAGATCCAACTCATAGCAACCCCTCCTTGAGTTTCTGATGTGGTATCACTACAGAAGTAGATTGTCCAACCTTATTTCTGAGGAGTGGCTGGTGGGATTGAACTGCCAGCCTTCTGGTTAGCAGTCAAATGCCTTAGGCACTATGCCACCAGACTTCCCGTTTAGAAGGCTAGAAGTCTGAATTCAGAGTCCTGGCTCTAGGGGCTGGGTGAAGGCCCGTCAACCATGGGCTTCAGCTCTGCCTCTTGTTCCAGGCCCACTAGAGCTAGAGGTGTCTCCTAACTCATCCAGCTACTGGCTGCTAAGGCTGATGAACCTAAGACTGGCAAGTAAAATGGCACAGTCTCAAGCTCAGCAGGCAACATGGCAAGCCACTGGTTCCAGGAACTGGAGATGAAGACTCAGACAAACGCAGGATCCAAATGTGCCAAAAAGCTAGAGACCTTCTCCATATGTACTGGAAGCAGACCACACCCCAAAGATAACTCCCCTTCAACTACTTAGCTGCTCACAGCAGATTCCACCATGGAGGTTATTACAATCTATCTCATCATGGGGAATAATTACATCACTACATCCAGCTGCCAAGCCTCTCAAGACTATGACTCAGCCATGTTGACACATAACTTTAACTACCACAGTAGGAGTGGATGATTAGTGGATAATGGGTGGCTGGATGGACAGTGGGATGGTTGTCAGGGATGGGTGGGTGGGTAGATGGATGGATGGATTTGGGGGATGGACGAACGGCAGGGATGGATGGATGGTGTTCAATGGGATGGGATGAATAAGTTTACTCTTTTACTTTTGAGTAATGTTTAGTCACATATCAAAGGATCTTGTTCAAGTATCTTGAATTTGAAATGTGTAAATAGTCAGCCCTCCCTATTCGTGGGTTTTGCATTCACAGAGTCAACCAACCAGGGATCTAAAATTAAAAAAAATAAAAAAGCAAACGAGTGGTCAAAGCAATCCCTCAAAGGCTAAGAGGGAGCATAAAGTGCTATTTACATTATATTAGATACTTATTATTAGTACTCTAGAGATGAGTTAAAGTATATGGGAGGACGTGCAAATATTATGCCATACCAGAAAGATGTCTACCTTTGTTTTTTTGACTATGCAAAGGCATTTGACTGTGTGGATTATGATAACATTGTGAAGAATGGGAATTCCAGAACACTTTTGTGCTCTTGAAGAACCTGTACATTGACCAAGAAGTTGTTGTTTGAACAGAACAGGAGGATACTGCATGGTTCAAAATCATGGTTGTATCCTTTCACCACACTTATTCAATCTGTATGCTGAGCAAATAATCAGAAAAGCTGGACTATATGAAGAAGAATGCAGCATCAGGATTGGAGGAAGAACCATTACCAACATGTGATATGCAGATGACACAACCTTGTATACTGAAAGCAAAGGTGACTTGAAGCACTTACTGATGAAGATCAAAGACTACAGTCTTTAGTGTGAATGACACCACAACATAAAGAAAATGAAAATCCTCACAACTGGACCAATAAGCAACATCATGATAAATGGATAAAAGATCAAAGTTGTGATGCATTTCATTTTACTTGGACCCACAGTCAACACCCATGGAAGCAGCAGTCAAGAAATAAATGTTGTATTGCACTGGGCAAATCTGCTGCAAAGATTTTTTAAAAGTGTTAAGAAACAAAAATGTCACTTTGAAGACTAAGATGTGTCTGACCCAAACCATGGTATTTTCAGTAGCTTCATATGCATATGAAAGCTGGACAATGAATAAGGAAGACAGAAGAGTTGATGCCTTTGAATTGTGGTGTTGATGAAGAATATTGAAAAACCATCGACAGCCAGAAGAACAAACAAATCTGTCCCAGAGGAAGTGCATCAGGAATGCTCCTTGAAAGCAAGAAGGGCCAGACTTCGGCTCACCTACTTGAGTCATGTTGTCAGAAGGGACCATTCTCTGGAGGATATCATGCTTGGCAAAGTAGAGGGTCAGCAAAGGAGGGGGGAAGACCCTCAATAAGATGGACTGACATAGTGGCTGCAATGATGGGCTCAAGCATAACAAGAATTGTGAGGATGGCACATCGCCAGGCAGTGTTTTGTTCCACTGTTCATAGGGTGGCTATGAGTCTGAGCTGACTCAGTGGCACTTAACAACTACCATTTTATATAATGGACTTGAGCATCTGTAGATTTTGGTATGGAAGGGGGCCCCTGGAAGTAATCCCCCATGGATACAAGTATTTCATAATTCTTCCAAGTCCAGTTATATTATGAAGTTCCAAAATCTCCTCCTAAATTACCTTGAGACTTTTTCCTATCTAACATGCCTGTTAAGCTGCCCAATGATGATTTCTCAATTAATTCTTTGATCTCCAACACGGTTATTCCTCCTAAAGAAACATTTGGTCCTCTTGAAATATTCCACCTAGAAAATGCACAAAGAGAAAAATATATGAAAGTGAAAAATCAGAGACCAGCTCTGATCATCTATTTACTGGAACTATATGTAAGCAGATAAAATAACATCATTACATTTTTCTAACCCCATGAGTCTCAAAATGTACAGGTTTCCCCCACTTTTTGTAAGTTCACTGTATACTACTTTTACAAAAGACCTGCATTAGTACCTGTTTTTGCTAATGGAAAGAAATCTCAGAGAATTTTCACTTTTACAAAAAAAAAAAAGGGAAAAGCAAAACTAGCATTTGTTTTGCAGTGAGCCATTAAAGGGGTAGTATGCACCATGAGTAGTGTCACCAAGCTCTGTCCCTGAGAACTACACTTAGAATCTCAGCATCAAGCGACCATAGCTTTGAACTGTGTCTTTAACACTATATGTTAGTGTTATTTTTAGGTTTTAAGTGTTATTTGGTATGATTTGTTGATGTTGTTAGGTGCCATTGAGTCATTTCCGACTCATAGCGACCCATGCACAGCAGAATGAAACATTGCCCGATCCCGTGCCAGCTCCATGATCCCTTCTGTACTTAAGCCCATCATCGTAGCCACCGTGTCAATCCATCTCGTTGAAGGCCTCCCCCTCTTATGTCGATCCTCCACCCTACCAAGCATGACGTCCTTCTCCAGGGAATGGTCCCTTCTGACAATATGACCAAAATAGGTGAGATGAAGTCTGGCCATTCTCACTTCCAAGGAGCATTTTGGGTGCACTTCCTCCAGGACAGATCTGTTAGTTCTTTTAGCAGTCCATGGTACTTTCAGCATTCTTTGCCAGCACCACAACTCAAAAGCATCAACTCTT